AGCCCCCAGAACTCTGAGAAATGAATTTCCGTGGTTTATAAGCCACCCGTCTGTGGCGTTTTGTTAGAGCAGCCTGAGTGGACTGAGACACTAAGTAACGTGTTGACTCTACACAACACATTGGAAAGAGTGCGCGTGTTCGTTGGGGAAGCCGGGTGGCACGCTGGAAGGGGCTTTGGACTGGGAGCGGGTCATCTGTCATCTGCCCTTTGTTCAAGGTCAACCTTGGCGGAAGGTTCTTGCTGCACCCCAGTTCCTTCCTTCATCTTGGGAGATGCCTGATCCAGAGGGCATCTTCCCAGCTCCTGGCATCCTCGTTTCCAAGAACCTTCTCCTCCGCTGACCTCTTGCACACTCCTCCGTGGCCACTTCCGTGGCCACTTCATCACCTGCAACTGCTCCGTCTTGAAATCTGTTCAAACAAATTTTGGGCACGAGTTCCTCCCTCCCCAGCTTGCTGGTGTGCTTGCCTCCACTCTGACCTTGCTGGATCTCAGCAGGACCTCTCTGTTCCCTTGGGCCTCTCCCGTGATCATCTCCTTCCCTCTATTTAGCTTGGAGCCCACAGTCCATCATTTCAAGCTCTCTCTTGCTAGCATCCGCTTTCAAACGTTTTGAACCTTAATCTACAGTAAGGAATATAATTTACATATGACCTCTGACTCATATGTACATATATTTTTACACATACATACAAACCTGCATAGACCTCTCCCAACTTTAAAACAATCATAATTATTTAAAAATCTCTCCCTGGACATCAGTTCTTATGACTCTAGCCTTATGTCTCTCCTTATCTTCACCAAGTTGTTGTGAGGGTCATCTGTATAAACTCTTAGTTTCCTATGGCTGCTTTAACAAATGATTACCCAGCACAAGCTTATTCTCTTACAGTTCTGGAGGTCAGAAGTCTAAAATCAAGGTGTTGGCAGGCCTGCATTCCTTCTGGAGGCTTCAGGGCACAATCTGTTTCCTTGTCTTTTCTAGTTTCTAGAAACCGCCTACCTTTTTTGGCTCATGGCTGCCCCATTCCAACCTCTGGTTCTCTTGCCACATCTCCTTCTTCTGACTTTGACCTTCTTGCCTCCCTCGTATAAGGACCCTTGGAATGACACTGGTCCCTCCCAGATCAGCCAGGATCATCTTGCCATCTCAAGATCTTTAACTTAATTATAACTGCAAAGTCCCTTTTATAATGTAAAGAACATATTTATAGGTTCTGGGGACTGGTCCCTGTGGACATTTGGGGGGGCTGGCATTATTCTGTCTACCAGGTGAACCATCTTAGATTTCCTTAACTTCCACTCCCTTTCAGCCTTTTCTAAACAGGCTTCTGTTCCCCACTCACCATCCCAAATGCCTCTCCAAATGGTCCTTGATGCCCTCCATGTTGCTGAAAGCAGTGGGCAGTTCTAACTGTCCTTCTTTGGACCTCTTAGCAGCTTCTGACATAGTCGGCCAATCAGAACGGGGCATGGAAGGCACCTATGGGGGCCATAAGGTGGGCGGGCCAATGGCTTGTCCTCATGAGGGTTTCCTGCTGTCACTATGGTGGAGGATCTAGTGTGGATGGGATGGGGTCAGCTGCAGAAAACGGGGTTCCATGGCTCTCCATGTCCTATACATCAGCCACAGGCTCCTCAGTATCTAGACTTTCTTTATTAGTGTGGAGTATTGGTCACAAAACTGCAGGTAAAGGTTTTCTAAACAAACATTTATCTACCAACAAAAAAGTACACAGATCCTAAGTGCGTAGCTCGGTGAACTTTCACAAAGTGAAGCATGTCTCCCCCCTTCAGGTCAAGAAACAAAACTTTGCCAGCACACACGCACTCCCTGTCACGTCCCCTCCCTGTCACCTAACCCCTCTCTTCCCAAAGGTCGCGCTATCCTGGGGAGGCATGGGTGGTTTTTAAATTTTTGCCCTTTTATATAGACTTTCTTTCTGAGAAGTTTTAGGTTCACAGCAAAATGGAGCAGAAGGTTCAGAGATTTCCCGTATATCCCTTTCCCCCCCGACCCCGCACACACAGCCTTCCCCACTGTCAGCATCCCACACCAGCAGTGCAGCTGTTACAATCAGTGAACCTACTTTGACACCTGATTATCACCCAGAGTCCATAGTTTACACTAGGGTTCACTCTTGATGTTATACATTCTTTGGGTTTTGACAAACGTATAATGATATGTATCCCCCAGTATAGTATCAGACAGAATGGTTTCATGGCCCTGAAATTCCCCTGTGCTTCACCTGTTCATCCCTCTCTCCCCCCAAACCTCTGGCAACCACTAACGTTTTCACTGTCTCCATAGTTGCGCCTTTTCCTGAACGCCATATAGTTGGAATCACACAGTGTGGAGGCTTTTCAAATTGGCTTGTTTCACTTAGTCATATGCGTTTGTTTCCTCTGCGTCTTTTGTGGCTTCATAGCTCATTTCATTTAGTGCTGAATAATATTCCATTGTTGGACCTAGGCATAGGTTTTCGAAGAAGGAATTGGACCGCGTCTAGAGCAAGCTTTACTGCTGAAGTATCTTCTTTGAACTTGTATTAGTGTTAGGACTGATGTACGGGGAAGGAGGCTCCCTTCCCCCCTCAATGGCAGAAGGGCCTAAAAGACCTGGAGTTAGTCAATTCTATGCATTGAGCTTCTGCCTCTAGAATATCACTCAGAATGTGAATACGGTATGCAGGGGGGCTCGGGCCACTGTGCTGCATCGTGTTGTGTTTTGATGTAAATGGTCCCACGGAGATCAAGTTTGTTCTGGGCACAGAGTACATGACACACAGGGTGAAGAAAGGTGATGGCCCGAACACAGCAGAAGTTTCTTTCTCACTCATGTGACAATCTGTGGAGCAGGCAGCAATTCCCTCCGTGAATCCAGGACCCAGGCCCCTTCCGTCTTGTGGCTCCACCTGCCCCAGGGCCTTATCATCACCTTCATTTAGCCAGAGTGACACATGGCCTTTGGCACAAAACCGTAAACATGAAGATGAAGTCATGCTCCCAGAATTAATGTAACATTTCAGTCAGCCCATCATCTCCATGAGTGATGCGTGATGGACAAGAAAGTGTCAGTGACAAAGCTAAAGCGCGGGGGTACCAGTCTGGGAAGCCTCAGGGTGGGTGCTGGCCTGGGGGCAGCCTGAGGGCCACCGTGAGTTCCCTGGTGTGGCTCAGCTCAGCCCATAATGCTGAGATCCCACAAATGATCTTGTACAAGTCAAATCATGGCTTAATCAGGGCTCACCTGTGTATCCTACAGGATGACACTGACCTGGGGCCCTAGGACCACCAAGGGGCCTCTTCCTGGCCCCTCTTGGTGCCCTGAGGGGTTTGAGTGACCTTATGAGTGACAGCATTTCACCAAGCAGGCCCTTGACTCACATGCCCGCTGGCAGTTTTGCTGCTCAAGCTAGACTTTGCTTCTCTAAGCAGAGTTAAATCAGGGTAGCTGATGTCTTGGCCTTTCTTAGGATGATTGTCATGGGCGGGAAGGAAAAAAAGGAGCCGCAGTGAAAGACCTACAGTCTGGATGCAGTGTGCTGTCAAGGGCGCCCGGTCTCCGTCCTCAGGCGGGCAGGTGTGGATGGGCTGGTGTGCCCACCGTACGGCAGAGCATCTCAGTCCCTTTTCTGTGACTGTCAGGGAGGCCCAGGGAGCTGGACTGGGTGCCTTCTGCAGAGCATTACGGCCCGGAGAGGATTTTGAAAGCCAAGCAGGACTAGCTGGAACACGGCCTGGCCGTGTGGGAACTGGGGAGCTCTAAGGCTGCCTTCCTACACTCTCCCTCTTCCCCCTCAGAGGCCGAAGGCTGCCAGGCCGTCTCCCACACACCTCACCAGAAAGTCCCTGGCTTCCCTCCCAGCCGCCTTGCGACTGACCTCGTGAGGTGTGAGAAGGAGGAAAGGAATCTGTGTTTCAGATGAACCTTCCCTCCTCCTTCCTGAGAAAACACCCAGGCCGCCAGTGCTCCTCCGAGCCCGAGGCCCTGCTCAGCTCAGCCAGCCAGCTTGAGACGCAGGGATCGGGAGCCTGTATGAGTTTGCCGGGGCTGCTGTAACAAATGACCACTAACTTGAGTGACTGAAAACAACAGAAATACATTCTCTCAGAGTTCCAGAGGCCCGAAGGCTGAGATCAAGGCGTCCGGAGGGCCGTGCTGTCTCTGAAGTTTCTAAGGAAGAGTCTTTCCTCGCCTCTTCCAGCTCCTGGTGGCTCCCAGCAATCCTTGGTGTTCTTGGCTTGTAGAAACATGGCTGTCTGCCTCTGTGTCTCTTCTCTTCTCATCAGGACATAGGTCATACAGGATTAAGGGCCTTTCTTACTCCAGTCTGACCTCATCTTAACTAATTATGTCTGCAACGACCCTATGTCCAAATAAGGTCACATTCTGAGGTTCTGGGTGAACATGAATTTGGGGGGATGGGACACTCTTCGACCCACCCCACCATCCTCCCCTTCCCTTCCCTTCAGAGAAGGCCCTTATCCCATGCAGGGGGCCTGCCTTGCTTTCTTCTCCAGGACTGAGGCAGGCCCAGGAGTGGTTTCCTAAAATAAAACGGCATCCTCTCACCCCAGGAAGGCCTGGCCCAGCTAGTGGGAGATCAGAGAACCCGAGTCTCCCCCAGGACAGGCATCTACATGCCCAAGGGACACCTACTCGCATTTTTTTCCTGCTTTATAGAGATGCTTTGGGACTTCATGGCTCCTGGCCCGTCCTTTAGTGCTTCCTGGAGGGAAGGAGCCCTTGGAGGCTTGCAACGTGCCATTCCAGACCAAGGTTTCAGGCCCACATGGAAAAACGAGCATCCGGTCCCTCCGCCCCAGCTCCGGGCCTGTCTGGTGTCCTGTCCAGGCAGCAGCTGAGGAGGCCCCGCCCACACCTTCCTCACTGACCAGCTCCTCCGTCCGGGGAGCCGAGGTCCTCCTGCCCCCAAATCCATGAAGGAGTGGTGAACTCCTGGGCCTCTTGTAACCCGGCTGCATATTTTCTAGGTTACCTAACCAAACTCCTGCAAAACCACACCGCCTATGCCTGTGATGGGGACCATCTGGATCTGCACTGCCCTCGGCATTCGACGATAAGTGTCCAATCGGCATTTTATGGGCAAGATTACCAAACATGTAGCACGCAGCAACCTGCCTCTCAGAGAGAAGACAGCTTAACCTGTGTGGCGCCCACCACACTGCAGGTATTGCCTTTCACAGATGGTTTAAGATGACGAAATGGGTTTCTCTCTCCCTCTCTGTCTCTCTCTCTGTGTATATACTTGTGATCCTATAGTGTACTCAAAGCAAACCCGCTCCATGAAATCTCAATGTAGGCAAATCACGCATTTTGCAGGCGAGCTAGTCTTTGCTTCTCAAAAGGATTCTTTACCAAACGAGTCTAAATAGAATTCCTGCTTATTGGAGAGCTCCCTTAATACACTTGCAGAATGAAGTTATTCATAGGCACACTCCTCCCTGCAATAAAGTATCGTCATGTTGGGCTTTAACCTCCAGGCCTACGTTGCCTATCAGTACCCCGGGAAAGAGGAAAGGCTGTGCATTCTTTAGTGGAAACCACAAGGCAGACATCAGAAGTCATGATCAAATTCTTAGAGAATGCACTCAAGGAAGAGGAACATCACTAATTATCTTTTTTTTTTTTTATGGTTTGCTTCTCCAGTTGTAGATAATCATGTTATTCTTGTTTGGAGGTATTTTGGGCAGTTTCTGCTGGTTCGTCCTTGATGGTACCAGGAATTAGGGGTGGGGGGTGGCTGACTCATTCTTTTTTCAGTCGGCATTGGGGAAATATGTGGTCTACGGGGAGGTCAAAACTAATATAGCAATGATGATTCTAGACTATTCTGGCTTTCAATTATCCAAACAACCTCTGTTCTGCTCTCCCAGGCCCCTCAACATTTATAACTAGTTAGCTAAGATTATGGAGTCACTTGGCCTTGGGTTTTTTTAATGCCTCCAAAGTTCCCTGTGAGTCCATTGGAGTCACGGTGGTGAGAGCAGATAGGTGGCAAATTAGATGTCAGCTTGATTTTGTCAGTTGTGGGAAATGTGGGTGATGGTAAATTTCCTAGGCGGACTGAGGAGACATGGAATTAGCTGTAATGCCGTGCAGCTCTCCCTAAGGCCGGAAGAGGAAAAGCAAACATAAAATGATCATGTAAGGATTTTTCTATTTTGTCTACTATGTATTACTTCCAAGCTAAGCATTGTAGTACCCGGGTGGTCATGTGATTGGTAAAGACACCAACTGAGGAGCCATAAGAATGTGTTTGAATGAATCCCCTGGTTTCCACACCCTGAGGAGACACAACGTGTGTCTTCTGGAGACAAGAAGTTCCTTTACTTGTGTGCCCCACCCTGCCCCCAATCCTTCCCTGTACCTTGAGAATGTTCCCTTTCCTCCCCCCAACACTCTTGCCCACCTATCCCGGGTACCCAGGCTTTCTGCTGCCCTCCTAGGGACATAAAAAGAACGTGGCTGGTGCCACCAGGGCGGCAGCGCCTGCTTTGTGAACGTATGAACTCCTGGCGTCCTGCGGTTCCAAAACACGGGCACCTCGCCCTCCAACACGGGCGCCTGCCTCTGCCGGGCATCCCCGAGGGAAGAGGATGTTGCCATAACCGGGCAGACAAGTCAGAATTTGTGAACACAATTCTGATGCTGTGCGGAGGGTTTGTTTGCCAGAAACATCCCCGCGTGCTAGGAGATCCTTTACTTTGTCTTTTAACCTGTGTTTGGGAGCTGAGGCAAGGTGCTTCCTCAGGGGGCAGTTGCTTAACGTAGGAGAGAACAGGTTGATGTCCACACAGGAGCACCTCACCTGATCTAGCCCACGACTGAATGGCTATAGGAAGTCCCCTCTCTGCAACTTCCAGCTGTAATACAGTTTGGAAAGAGCTCTGCCCTTGGGTCCCATTCCATGGCTGTAACACGAAGAGCCATCCAAGGGCTGAGTTATTTCGCGATACCCTCGGCCGTGGAATATGCACCATCATCTGGGGGTCCTTGGGGTTTCCCTGGGCATTTTTCCTGATTTTACGCACATCCACGGGGCGCCTGAGGTGACGGGGGGATACCTGGTAGGGCCAGCATCCTTCATGGAGATATTCCATGAGCCACTATGAGAACATGGCGACTCAGACAGGCTCGTGAATCTGCAGTTCAGTCCAATAGTAATAAGTAGATTCTTGGGAACATTTTTACTGTACTTGGTGTGGACGACCTCTGTGTTTGTCGTCGGCAGGGCCTGATCCGTTTGGGAGCCGGAAGGGCAGCAGCGTGACGCTGGCCCATCTGCGACCCAGTACTGGGTGTTCCCCAAGCTTCCGCAGAGCAGACTCACAAAGGTGTGATCTGCCTGGAAAAGGTCGGGAGAGATTTGAAGGAAAGCTTTTTTTAAAATTTATTTTTATAAAGGAAAAATTTTAAGCCAAATACTCAACAGAAAGCCTGCATATTCCACCCAGAAAATTGCTCCACCAGGAAACGTGGGTCCCACGTCCTTGAGGTTAGCGAGGGTGGGAATCAGCTTTTTTTTTTTTTTTTAACCTCTTTATTGGGGTATAATTGCTTTACAATGGTGTGTTAGTTTCTGCTTTATAACAAAGTGAATCAGTTATACATATACGTATGTTCCCATATCTCTTCCCTCTTGCGTCTCCCTCCCTCCCCCACTCCCTATCCCACCCCTCTATGTGATCTCCCTGACCGAGCTGATCTCCCTGTGCTATGCGGCTGCTTCCCACTAGCTATCTACCTTACGTTTGGTAGTGTATATATGTCCATGCCTCTCTCTCGCTTTGTCACAGCTTACCCTTCCCCCTCCCCATATCCTCAAGTCCATTCTCTAGTAGGTCTATGGCTTTATTCCTGTCTTGCCCCTAGGTTCTTCATGACCTTTTTTTTTTTTTCTTAGATTCCATATATATGTGTTAGCATACGGTATTTGTTTTTCTCTTTCTGACTTACTTCACTCTGTATGACAGACTCTAGGAGGAATCAGGCTCCCTGACTTCAGACTATACTACAAAGCTATAGTAATCAAGACAGTATGGTACTGGCACAAAAACAGAAATATAGATCAATGGAACAGGATAGAAAGCCCAGAATTAAATCCACGCACATATGGTCACCTTATCTTTGATAAAGGAGGCAAGAATATACAGTGGAGAAGAGACAGCCTCTTCAAGAAGTGGTGCTGGGAAAACTGGACAGGTACATGTAAAAGTATGAGATTAGAACACTCCTTAATGCCATACACAAAAATAAGCTCAAAATGGATTAAAGACCTAAATGTAAGGCCAGAAACTATCAAACTCTTAGAGGAGAACATAGACAGAACACTCTATGACATAAATCACAGCAAGATCCCTTTTGACCCGCCTCCTAGGGAATCAGCTTTTTAATTTTCATTAGTTGGCCTGTGTTTGGGTTGGGGTCTCCAAGGCATCCCCCAGATGCTGAGCTCCCCTGTGGCCAGCGTCAGGTGTTTCTAAGGATAAGGAGCTGTGATTACGGTTCCCGCTCCCCATAGCCCTCTGTCAGCTTTAAAACCAGGGATCCCTCCCAGAAGGGGGCCTCCGAGTCCCCTCCAGTCCACACTCCGCGGTGCCCTGATTTTGCTGCCGTCCCTGAGACCCTCCATGATGCAGCGCTCTCGCCAAAGCTGTCCGCAGTGGTGCCAGGTGAGCCGAATAGGAGCTGGTTTTCTGAGGGAGGCCTGGCACTCTTGGAGCAGGTTTCGTTTGGGGGAGACATGGGGAGACAGGCAGCCGACCTGGTCAGCCGCGTGCGGGTGCTTCCATCTTAGACACAGCTGGTACCAGCGAGAAGGTTTTAAAACGGGAGCCCCAGGCCAGGCAGGCAGGTGCCCTTCCTCCTGAGAGCCCAGAGCAGCCCAGGTGTGGAGTCTCGCAGACACTGTGTGTGGTTCTCAAGCCTATCCCTTTTCTACCCCCTCATTTTAGAAGGTGCTGGACGAATGCCAGAACCAGCGGACCTGCCACCTCCTGGTCAATAGCCGTGTTTTTGGACCTGACCTTTGTCCAGGAAGCAGTAAATACCTCCTGGTCTCCTTTAAATGCCAACCTAGTAAGTAACTTGCGAGGGGCACAGCACGCGCAGGGGGTGGGTTCCCTGACGACAATGCTCCGCCAGCTGACGTTCGTCCAGCTTTGAAACTCTTGTTTATAGGAATGTCGGGGCCCCATCCCACCTGGTGTTTTAGTTTGTGTGTATTTGTGTGCGTGTTGTGTGCGCACGCGCACCGATCTGTGTGAATTCTTGCAAATCCCTGAATTTTAAAAAATCCTTCCTAATATGTAAAACTTGGTTGTACTGATGCTAAAGATGCCAGGTGACGAGAGACTGCAATGGCTTTTCCCCAACATAAGGAGCTGCTTCTCCTTTTCAGAGGAAGGCTTGTTATGAGGCTCCCCCTCCCCCGGCTGCAGGGCAACTTATTTTTCTGAGGAGGCTGGTGGCACAGCTGCCAGCTGAGCCCCAGATTCCAGATCTTTACAGATTGGCTTCTTCCCACTTTCACCTTCAGCGGGGGCTCCTGAAGCAGCATGTTTGCTAAGGAGAAAGAAAGAGGAAGAGGACTTGGCGGGAGCAAGCTCTTCTATTCGGATTCTTGCACTTCTCTCCACTAACTTGCGCCATTTCTAACGCACACCATACGCGTGGAACGGTCTCAGGCGCACGTCTTCAGAGAAAGCCCTGGGTGCTTTGGCAAATATCCAGGCTTCCGTCTCAAATCCTTTCCTTGCTGGGACCCAGATACCTTAGAACGGCCCTATGGCTCAGCGCCCCTACTCTGCGTCCAAACATACACTCAAACTCACTCATACTCACACGTGCACCCATGTACACACTATCACACACTCACAATGCACACACTATCACACACTCACAATGCACACGCTATCACACACGATGCACACACCTGGACTCACACGTATACACTATCACACCCATACACACTATTGTACACATATGCACTGTCACACATGTAGTCATACCACATATGCACACTCACTCACTAGTACACACAATCACAAGCTCTCACAAGCAGGCCCAAAGTTTGCAGAACAGCCGAAACTCCCCTGCTCCCCACCCAGGGATTCTCACCAACTCCTGCCCTACCTCACAGACTCAGGAAAATCACTTCTAGATGCCCACGTTTTTAGTAGCATCCTCCCTCTGCTGAATCTCAAAAAATGACCACACCCCCTAGGGCTTCCCTGGTGGCGCAGTGGTTGAGAGTCCGCCTGCCAATGCAGGGGACACGGGTTCGTGCCCCGGTCCGGGAAGATCCCACATGCCGCGGAGCGGCTGGGCCCTTGAGCCATGGCTGCTGGGCCTGCACGTCTGCAACGGGAGACCACAACAGGGAGAGGCCTGCGTACCGCAAAAACAAACAAACAATGACCATGCCCTTGACCATGCCCTGGCCATGGTTTTGGCCACGCCCTTGGCCTCACCCTTGACTGTCTTAGCTTTCCCTTCTTTTTCTCTTCTGCCCATTTATTGTGATATTCTCTCACATTTTCTATATGTTGGAAATAGTTCATAATAAAAAGTTGGACAGGACCAGCCTTTAGAAGAAGTGAAAAGACCCTCATGAAATTGGCAGGACCCTGGATAAGCCAGTGCTGGGCCTCAGCCTGGTTTCTCCAGGGGGCAGTTAGGTCTGTTTGCTAATTTCATTTCCTCAGACACTTATTAAGCAACTGCTGTGCACAGGTGTGGGCCACGTTTTGGTTATGAAGAGAACTCGTATCTCACAGAGGATTCCTGGATGGTGGTTCTGTCTTGGGTGATTTCCAATGTCCCTTCATAAAGCGAGCATTTATTGAGATCTTCACATAGCCAGCTGCTTCTCATTCTTTAGATTCTAGGCCAAAGACCTCCTTTCTCCAGAGGGACCTTCTCTGTCCAAAAAAATATCTAAAGAAGACCCGTGCGCCCTTGGTACTGAGCAAGAGGCTCCCAGGAGGAATTGACCTCGGCAGGAACTCAGGGAAGGCTTTCCCGGCAGATGGTGACAACCTTCTGGGGTAGAGGCAGGGCACAGAAAGCTGAGTCCTTACAGAGGCCTGTGGCAGGGGTGGCACAGGGTGGTGCGGGGGCCGGAAGGAGCAAACGGAGCCCTAGGCAGAGAGCTGGAGCGTGATCCAGGGCCCTGATGGCCAGGGAAGTGGGTGGAGTCTTCCTGTAGGGCAGCATTGAAGCAGGGAGGCTACTCGGCTGGGGTGGTAGAGGCCCCTCTGGCTGCCCTGTGTGTAACAGATTTGAGGGGCAGAGCCCTTGCATCTTAGTCTGTTTGAATTGCTACAACAAAATGCCATAATTTAAGTGGCTTATAATCAACAGAAATTCATTTCTGTCAGTTCTGGAGTGCTGGGAAGGCCAGGATCAAGGTGCAGATCTGGTACCTGCTGAGGACCTGCTTCCTCATAGGCGGCTGTCCTTTTTGCTCTAACCACACGGCGGAGGGGCGAGGAATCTCTCTGGGGTCTCGTGTACCAGAGCACGGATCCCATTCATGGGGGCTGCGCACTCATGACCTCATCACCTCCCAAAAGCCCCACCTCCTGTTACCATCACGTGGGCATCAGGATTTCAGCATATGAATTGTACGAGGACACAAACACCCAGACCAGAGCCCCTGGGCTTCGCTGGTGGTGCAGTGGTTAAGAATCCGCCTGCCAATACAGGGGACATGGGTTCGAGCCCTGGTCCGGGAAGATCCCACATGCTGTGGAGCAACTAAGCCCATGCGCCACAACTACTGAGCCTGTGCTCTAGAGCCCACGAGCCACAACTACTGAAGCCTGCGCTCTAGAGCCCGCGAGCCACAACTACTGAGCCCGCGTGCCACAACTACTGAGCCCGCGTGCCACAACTACTGAGCCCACGTGCCACAACTACTGAGCCCGCGAGCCACAACTACTGTGCCTGTGAACCTAGAACCCACCGCAATGAGAAGCCCGCGCACCACAACAAAGAGTAGCCCCCACTCACTACGACTAGAGAAAGCCTGCGCACAACAACGAAGACCCAATGCAGCCAAAAATAAATAAATAAAAGAAACCAGAGCCCCTCGTGTGACCTGGACATTGGGGGCCTAAAGCGCTGCCGTTTAGGTGGCGGCACCTATTGCTGCTATGAAGTAGGGGTGGAAGTGAGGTCCCCGCACCCTCCTGTCTCTTTTTCTGCAACCCTGTCACCTCCTGAGGCTCTTCTCCATGGCCCCAGTTCCAGCCCCTGCATAACACTCTAATAGTCCAAGGGCCCCATGGCTGCACTCAGGTGCGCATGGAGCCGGCTGTTACCGTGAGAGCCAATTATTCCCATCTCTTCCCAGCCGTGCCTGTGTGCAGTGAAATCTGCCCTGATGGAAGTTCTTACACCGGGGAAATTGGCTAAGGCTACAAATCAGGGCTTACTTGTATGTTTGTTTTTTGGAGAGTATCTTACCAACAGTCCTCACTAGAATCTTCTTTTCCCCGATCGTGTGCCATGCTTCACTTCCTCCCTAAATATCATCCCTTCAGAGAATTTTGGTTCCAGTGAGTCTTTGAATTTAGGGTTCATGTTCCTGTCTGCTGTGGAGCTGCTGTGTGACCTTGGGCAGTGGAGGGAAACTTTCTGAGGCACCATAACTCAATTATAAAATGAAGATAAAGCACCCTCTACCTAGGGCTGTTGTAAAGACTAAAATTACAGTGCTGTACGTAAAATGCTTAGCACAGCGCCTGTAATGGACTTGAGCTCAGCGATTGGTAGCTATTATTCCAAGAGGCAGATTAAAGTAATTCTTGCTAAAGATGTGAATGACTGAAAGGCAGTGATATACCAATGGCTGGGGATGCAGGGGGGTGCGGTCTGCCCTGAGTGCAGGCAATAGCAGGGTGCACTGTCTGCTGAGAATTTAAAAACACAACAGAAGAGACCAAGTATCTGTCTGCATGTTAACATTGCCATGCACTGGCAGTCATAAATAATGTCAATAATATGTTCCCATCATGGCAGATCACTCCACGTGCCCATCTTTGAAAGGCCACTGCTGATATGCAGATGTGTCTATGCATTGTTTTTTGTTTGTTCGTTTGTTTTTATAAACTTATTTATTTTTGGCTGCTTTGGGTCTTCGCTGCTGTGCACGCGGGCTTTCTCTAGTTGCGGCGAGCGGGGGCTACTCTTCGTTGCGGTGCGCGGACTTCTCATTGCGGTGGCTTCTCTTGTTGCGGAGCATGGGCTCTAGAGCACAGGCTCAGTAGTTGTGGCACAGGGGCTTAATTGTACCGCGGCATGTGGGATCTTCCCAGATCAGGGCTCGAACCTGTGTCCCCTGTGTTGGCAGGCGGATTCTTAACCGCTGCGTTACCTGGGAAGTCCATATGCATTGTTAGAGAGGAATGCATCGCACACAAAGACCTCTAATTAGGCGAGAGCATTTGTTGCTGTTGTCCTTTAAGCAGAGTCGTGGTTCTACCTCTACCCAGGCTCCTGGGTCAATCATCCGAACCCACAGAGATGTTGGCAACCCGTTTCTGGAAGGCCGCCCACACGCTAACCCAGCTCTAACCCAAATTCTAGTTCTCTAAGAAAAGCAGCAATTATGTTAATGGTCCCATTGTTTTTAGAACCCAGACATGTCACTCTTAGGTGACAATGAATTAGTACACCCCCAAGGAACCAAAGGACTCAACATCATACAGCGCTAACCTCCAAGCACATAATGTGACGCTCCCAGGCCCCTCCATTCCAGGAGATGATTTGCCCATATTCTGGGGACAGAAATCACTGGAGGCCTTACATGGGAGTGTCATGTTACTCTGGGTGAGTTTGGCTGGTACCGAGGCTGGAAGCTTTCATGAACGTGTCTCAATAAATCAGAGAGATGGGGGCTACTAAATGCGTTTCATGACATGCCTTAAAAAAGCTCATCTAATTTTTTTTAAATTCTGATAAAAAAAGAAAGAAACCATTCCTGTTGAAAAGTTTCCGGATTACAGAGATAAGGCTTGCTTTCTGTCCTGTGTTCTCCCTTCTCCTTCTTGGCAAGCTCTGCCAATGGAAGGCAGTTCACCAAAAATTCTTAGCATTTTTGGTATTCTTCTAGTTGGAAGGGTACTTGAGCTCTTTTGGTGTGTCTCCTAGGCCCTCTGTTCTGCGTCAAAGGCCGTTGCTCACGCTGGACCTTTGAAGTCAGGCAATATTTCGGAGTTGGTGGGATTTAGTGTTTACTCATCAAAAGCACTGAAAAACTCATACCAGTGCGGATATGACTCACCGAAATCGAACCCTCCAATGTCAAGGTCAGACACAGTGTTCTTTTTATTTAGAAAAAGGAAACAAAACTTTTCTTGGCTCTAAGTTTAAACTGTTATATTAAGATTCCAGTGAGTGGGTAAAGGGCCTCCTAGACATTTGCTTGGTCATCACCTGACTTCTCCCTCCTCTGATGGGTCCTCAACTATGTTCACATACTAAAGAGAATGATGAGCATCTGTGAGGATTCTGTGAGCATCTGTAACCTGGTTTCTGCTCTGCACCTTTCATTCATGAATCTTCCCATCATCATGTTTTAAAGAACCATTGCCCAAGTTTTCCAGCGCCAGAGCTGATGGTAATCTTGAGATCCTAAAATGTTTCCTTCAAGCAGTTCAAAAATTTGGCCTCACTGCTACGTCTCTGTTTTCAGGAGAGAGGCATGGGAATTTACAAGTTACCGAAAGGTGGCATTTCTATTAGGAAATCATTTTCTTTCATGTTTTAAGTTTGGGACTTAAGCATCGGTGATTCCAGGATGTGAAGGTCCCACCGGCCACCGTTGCGCTGTTGTCTACTGCTCACGCCGCCTTCTGCAGGGAATTTCAGATTGGTTTGATCACAACCCCGAGTGAGAAAAACATTTTACATTTTGGCCCTACATAACAGACACTCAACTGAAAAAATCTTTTATAAACTACTGTTTATCCTTACTTTGCGTGATGCACTTTGATGTTTTCTGAACTATTCTTTATTTTTTAAAATTTTAATCACAACTTAGCAAATTAATTTCGTGACCTATTAATGGGCCTCAAATGACAATTGGAAAACTTTGGTTTCAGGGGATCAGGCTATACCTCCCATCCAGGAAAGAAAAGTGGAACAAAAACATGAATGGGAGAGAGAAGTGAAAGACAGGTTGACTGTGAGGGTGATGGAGGGTGTGGGCTAGTTTTCCTTTCTGTTTCTTCCCGTCCTAGGCAGCCCGTGACACCCTGAGCAGCTCGTGGAACTTAGCTCTCGTTTGCTGTTGACACCAATGCTTGTCTGGCTGAAAGATGTGCCTCAAAGTAGAAAAAACTAGGACTGGGGTGATAGAGTGGGGCTAGCATTTTTTCATGATTTTTCTTATACAAACGTTTGGGTGAGGGAGGGAGAGAACCCCACATGCAAAGAAATGATCACGGTCCCCTTTATGTTTTGCTTTGCTTTTATCTTGCAAGGTGTAAAATAAGTGGGAGGCTAGGGAAAGACATTATAACATGTAAGAGACAAAAGTTCAAAAGTTAGCAGCCAGTATCTATGAATCACTCCTACAAGTGATTTCTAAAGATCTGAAACACAACATGCAAAGGATGTAAAGAGGGGGCTCACGGAAGGGCTGCTTGGAGTAGTAAATTCCCTGATACATTTAAAGGTCCTAGAACAAGGCCTAAGTTCAGAGAAGGTGTAAACATCAGCTATTGTTATTTTTAAAATATCTTTGTTGAGGTGTAATTTACATAGCAAAACATTCGCCCATTTTAACTGTACAATTCAATGATTTTTAGTAGATGTACTGAGTTGTGCAGCCGCAACAGTCCAGCAATAGAACATTTCCATCATCTGAAACTATTTCCTTGCGTCCATTTGCCATTGTCACTTCGTGTCCCCAGCTCTCAGCCTCAGAAGACCCCTAATCTTCATTCTGTCTCTAGAGGTTTGCCTTTTCTGGATAGCTCACAGACATAGAATCATACGTTAGGCAGTCTATTGTGTCTGCAGTGTTAACTATTATTACTTTAAAAAATCAAATCATTAGTAAAACATTTTAGTCAATTGAATGGTTTTTGGGGACACTCTTTTAAAAAAAACCAACGAACTATATCTTCTCCAGGGCGCATGTATAATTCACCTCTGTATGACGTTGCAAAGGGAAGTTTCACTGTGGTGCACGGAATAAACAAATAAACTTTTCCTGAATTCTTTGGGAACAGACTATAAGCTGGAATCGTCCTCTCCTAGGACCCACGCCAGCCCAAGGGCCCGTTTTCCTGGATCACCAGACTTGGGGCCAACTCTTCACACCTCTTCAAAGAGGGATTCTTTTTTTTTTTTTTCAATATTCTTTTTCATATTCTTTTGCATTCTGGTTTATTACATGATATTGAATATAGTTCCCTGTGCTCTACAGTAGGACCTTGTTGTTTCAAAGAGCGATCCTTCACAGACACTGTGCCTTGCTTTTTTTCCTTTCCTAGACAAGGACATAATTTACTTTCCTATCATTTCTCTTTCTCTTTGTAAATACACAAACGGAATACTAGAACGTTACGAAGTTGGGTGGTGTGGTTTAGCTGGACTCTCTCCTGAACTTAATCTTCCATCAGGTGATTCCTGGTCTTTACCTGTGTGAGTCCCAGTATGGCATTTGAGAAGAGGCTCCCTTCGATTAAGGAACGTGGGACCTCAAGTGGGGAGAGAGAGAAACTCCCTTTATGGCCTGGCCCAGGACCTGGCCCAGGGAGCCCTGCTGTCTTCACCCTGGCATCTCTCCTCCTCCGTTTGGTCCTTAGGGTAATTCCTGGGTCTTTGCACTTGTTGACCCTCTTTCTGCAGAGGATTTTGCAGGGTCAGAGAGCCCATGGCAGGCAGGACCATCCCGACTCTCCCCTTCCTGGGGTGCAGCCCCCCGGGGGATGGGACCTGGCCGGGGCGTGGGCAGTGCTTTCTGATTCCTTCTGAGGAAGCTGATGGTGCCACCTGTTTTTGTTTCTGCTTCAGATGAGTTAAAAAACAAAACTGTGTGTGAAGACCACGAGCTGAAACTGCACTGCCACGAGTCCAAGTTTCTCAACATCTACTCAGCGACCTATGGCAGGAAGACCCAGGAGAGGGACGTCTGCTCCTCGGAAGCCACGTGGCTCCCCCCCTTTGGTATGTGTCTTTATGTGGCTGTTGTCAGGGTGCTGTCGGAGGAGATTAGCGCTCCGGTCCCTAAGGAAGGAGGCCACGCGCTGGCTGGTACCTGGACTAGAGGGAAAGTCAAGGGCAGGAGGAAACCACCCGCCAGGGTCCTGTCTCCCTCTGCCCCACATTCTGGAATCCGTCTGTTGTTCAGTTAGTCTACACCGAGTATTTACTGAGCACCTGCTGTATGCAGGGCCTGTTGTAAGCATGGGGGAGTCATCAGCGACCAGCACAGAGTCTCCCTGGAGCTGACCTTCCAGCAGTGGATGAGGAGGCAATGAGAAAGCAGATAATAAACGAGCTAATGTGTCGCACTTCCGGTGCACATAGGCATTAAAGGGAAAAGCACATGAGGGAGGGAGGGAGGGAGGGAAGGCCGGAGAGCACGCGGAGGGTGCTGCAGGGAGGCGCAGTGCTGTGGACTGATGGGTGTGCTGAGCAGAGACTCGGAGGGTCAGAGCCTGCAGGTCCTGGGGACGGCGTCCAGGCGGGGAGAAGAGCCCATGCTAAGGCCCTGAGGCTATGTTCAGGGTGGAGAAGAGCTCAGTGGGTCATTCTTAGAAGTCCGCAGTTTGGAGCTAAGATGATGGCCCGACACACCTGAGAGCTCCACCCTTCAAAGTCACCCTCTATTATTATTAGGGTTCTCCAGAGAAATGGAACCAATAGGAGATAGGTGGATAGATAGATAGATAGATGATAGGTAGATTGATAGATAATTGATAGATAGATAGATAGATGATAGGTAGATTGATAGATAATAGATAGATAGATAGATAGATAGACTGATTTTAAAGAATTGGCTCACACATTTGTGGAGATTGGCAAGTTTGAAACCTGCAGGGCAGGCTGGCAGTCTGAAAACTCAGGTAAGAGTTGATGTTCAGTCTTGAGTTTGAATTCCGCAGGACAGCAGGCTGGAAACCCTGGCAGAAGTTCTATGTTGCGGCCTAGAGAAGAACTCCCTTTTCAGATGACCCCAGTCTTTGCTCTTAAGGCCTTCCATGGATTGGTTGAGGTCCACCCACGTTATGGAGGGTGATCTGCGTTACTCAAAGTCTGCTGATTGACTGTTAGTCATATCTTTTTTTTAAAATTGAAGTATAGTTGATTTACAATGTTTCAGGTGTACAGCAAAGTGATTCAGTTATACATGTATATGTGTGTGTGTGTGTGTGTGTGTATTCTTTTTCAAATTCTTTTCCATTATAGGGTATTACAAGATATTGAATAGTTCCCTGTGCTATACAGTAGGTCTTTGATGTTTGTCTATTTTATATATAGTAGTGTGTATCTGTTAATCGCAAGCTCCTAATTTATCCCTCCCCCCCTTTCCCCTTTAGTAACCATAAGTTTATTTTCTATGTCTAATGTTAGTCATATCTTAAAAATACCTTCCCAATAACATCTAGACTGGTGTCTGACCAAACCACTGGGCACTGTAGCCTAGGCAAAACGACACATGAAATTAACCATCACACGCCCCAATCTGTGGTGGTGAAACGGCCTCAGCTCCACCCGCCGTGTTACCAGAGAGAACAGACCAATTGTGAAACGGCCCAAGAAGTTGCACTTTATTCATCAAACCTGAAATGAGCTCCTTAATGTGTTAAATTGCTGCAATCGATTCCTGGATCACATGTGAAATTAAACATTAATTTAAAAAAGAAGTTTATACATAACTAAAATCTTGGATCTGAAAAAAAAAAAAAAAAAGAAGAATGTAAAGTGACCTAGCTACACAGGCACACTCTTAGGCAAGGCTGGAGAGAGAACCAAAAAGCAATTCACAAGGAACACGTGTCACACGTGTCTCCGAGGCCCCTCGCCCAGCGTCCAGGGAAGGTAGAAGGTCGTCTGAAGGACAGCCGAGGCAGACAGCAGAAGCAGGCCGAAGTGGGCATCCGGCCGCGTTTAATTAGCTCCCGTCTTAACAGGCTTGCCTGCCACGTGGGCAGAGAGACCCTTGTGAGGGTGTCTCCTGCTGTCTGTGCGTAGTGCCCGGTGCTCCAGCAAGTGACTTGTGAGTTTGGAAACTCCATTCTCCCTCCCATATAACATCTCCCCGTGTTCACAATGTCTCCACCCCCTTCTCCCTTGTTCCTGCTGCTGCGTTAGGTCAAAGGACCATTGCCTGGTCATCGCAGGAGTCCCCCTGTCCTAGGCATGGCTTTCTCCCCTGGGTGGCCAGAGGTACCTTCTAAAAGGCAAATCTGCCCTCCTGAACATCCTGCAGGGGCTCCCTGTATCATCTGGTTTGCTTAGCTGGACAAGGCACCCTTGGTGATCTGATCTCTTTCGACAGAAAGCGACTCCACTTCTTAATATCAGTGTGGGACATCCCATTTCTCGGGCTCACTGAGTCTAGCTTAGCCATGTGTGTTTTGGGAGACAGCAATAAGTAACATCTATCTCAGGAGTTCTTTTGAGCAGAAGGTGGTCAGCCAGGTAGGTAGATCTGTGTGCAGGCTGAATGACTGACGTTCCGTACGTCACTGCCTTAGGTTCCTGGGAGGTTGGATGGGAGTTGGGTTTACAGGGAAAAGTCATCAGCCAAAGAAAACGTTAGCAGACCCCGTGGTTAAAAGACAGGTTTCCATAGAGAGTTCAGGGAATCCTCAGGTCAGCTGTGAATAAGCCTTGTTGACTCAGGAAAGGGCTGTGAATGGGAGACTGTGCCCCTTGCTTGGCTGTTCAGTTATTAAATCCTGAGCCCTGGCCAAGTCACATGGCAAAAACAGCCTGCCAGGGCTTCTCTGGTGGCGCAGTGGTTGAGAGTCCGCCTGCCGATGCAGGGGATGCGGGTTCGTGCCCCGGTCCGGGAGGATCCCGCGTGCCGCGGAGCGGCTGGGCCCGTGAGCCATGGCCGCTGAGCCTGCGCGTCCGGAGCCTGTGCTCTGCAGCGGGAGAGGCCACGGCAGTGAGAGGCTCGCGTACTGCAAAAAAATAAATAAATAAACAGCCTGCCCATCCCTCTCCCCCTTCCCACCCTCCGCTCGCAGTTGTGTGCTTCTGCCCATGGCCCCTTGAGTGCCCGTGAGGGTGAGGGTCAAGCTCTTCACTGCATTCATGAACCGCCACCCAAATGCCAGAGATCCGCTGGCCCCAGGCTCTGCAGTGCGAAGGGGTCCAAGGGAAACGAAAGGGTCCTTGCGGGTCCCCCTTCCGCTCACTGTCTCGGGTCCCCCTTCATCTCACCATCTCGTGTGCCCTTCACCTCACCGTCTCGGGTCCCCGTTCATCTTGTCCCACAGCCTTACGTGGAGGCCTTTGGTTTCACCTTTCGGGTTAGCACTTAAGGGCAGAACCGTGCATGTGTGCAGAAATATGGACCCCTGGCTGCCTGTGCTGGTGAAGTTTCTTGATCTAACTGAAGGCTAAGAAATACTCCACTTCTTGGAGCAGGTAAACTGTACGTAAGGGTTTTAAACTGAATTTGGCGTGTTCGCCCCACAAAAATCATCAGTTTTCCCTCTGATATAAACACACTTTAATATCACCCACTTTAAAAAGCACCCTCTTTTGACCCCCTGTCTCCCATCCACTGCGTCTGCAAGTCCTGTGGACTCTCCCCGTACCCAGTATCCAGACTGTTTGCTCCCAGCCCACTCAGGGCTTCTCTCACCTGGACCATCTGGGCTGCCTCTTGACTGGTCTCCGGCCTCGCTTCTTGATTCCACACCCTCCCTGAGCCCCTTCTTCACTTAGCAGTCAGAGGGATTTTATTTAAATCAAATCAGATCACATCCCCCCACCCCACTTAAAGCCCTTCACTCTGTCTACTGTAGAATAAACCCAGTCTCCCAGCTGTGGTGCGCCTCTCTCTCTCCTTCCTTCACTACCTCTGGAGCACTCCACACTCCTTCATGCCCCAGGGCCTTTGCACAAGCTCTTCCTCTGGCCTGGAATCTCACCCCACATCTTTGCATGGCCAGCTCCGTCTCGTCATTCGGGAATCAACTCAGATGTCATTTCAGAGAGGTTCTCCGAGGCAGCCTGCCAGCACGGCACCTTGTCCCTGCCATCCCACTCGAGCTGTCCCCATTTGATTGTCTTCATAACGTGGAAATAGTCACTTATGTGCATATGGTCTCTCTCACCTGGAGAAGGCCAGCACTGCAGAGGATATGCCTCTTTTTTCCTGTGGAATTCCCAGCAAGCAGAGCAGAGCCTGGCACAGAGCAGGTGCCCGTGTGAATCTCGAGCCCTGTGAATGAGTCAGAGCCCCCCTTCCTAAGTGAGGCACCCACACTGGCCTCCGGCGGGTGGATGGTTGCCGGCCTGGAATGTGGGCCTGGTGTTGTCACAGCTTCCAACCTCTCATGAGATGCTGGGAATCTGAATTTTTTTTTTAATGTGAAATTTTCCAACTTTTAAAACACCGTGCAAGCCAAACAAAACATGCCTACGGGCCACATCCGGTCCATGGGCCACCGGTGTGTGATCTCTGCTCTCAGTTCTAAGTTATTACTGCAGCTGGGCCTCAGCGCTTCGAAGAAGGAGAAAGGGCTGTTTATTTTTAACCCCGGAACCTGGTATGAACTTGGGAGGATGGTTGCCTAAAGGCCAAGTGGTCGGGTCTCACCTTGGGCCTCTGAAAGGGGATGTGTGTGCTTTTCCTCTTGCATATAAGCTAAAGTCTGGTGCAGCCCCACAAGCTCAGGGTCTGGGTACCCAGGGCAGCCCCGCATACTCGGTCAGAAAGCAGGGCGGAGCGGGGCGTTAGCACGCAGATACCCAGCGAGAGCATTTCCACTTCCTTCTAAAAGATAATTGTTGTGATGATCGTTGTTCTGCACAAGCACCGTCATTGTATTGAACAGAAATAAGAGAAAGATTCAGCCACAGATTTTTCCCATCAAATGAAAAGATTTTTCTTTTCAGGATCTCTTCCAAGTCCTGGTGTATGATGAGCAGAGAACAACTTTTACATAATGGCAATTCTGAAGTAGATACATTTGAGTTCT